TACGTAACAATACTTTAACAAAATCTATCTTTTATTTCTGGGTGACTTTTTGAAAACATATGGAGGGAAGTGTTCTTGTTTGCATAACTTAATAATTTCATTATATAAACCAATAAAATAATAAATGTCGTGAAACCTACAATTTTATTAAGAAAAGGCTACCACATATTCACCATAACAATTCCACCTAGTTTAACAGTTTCTTGCGACTTTCAACGAATTCCTACTCAACATAACACTCATCTCTCGATTGACAAACGATTTTTGTCGGAACTAAACAATTGATTAAAGAAATGCTACATATATATTCATCAATAACATTCGCACCTTTTACAGTTCTTGGCGCTTTTACAACGACGGCTACACATACCTGATTGCGTTACAAAGCGATTGTGAAGCTCACCACTACAAATATACAAGTTCACATTTACCGAAAAAGTCTGCTAAGGGCGTTCACCACGCAGCTAACGTACGAGAAACGATCCCCACGCAGTCTTAAGCATTGCAGTATGCATCAGATGTAATGTTGAATCCCTGCTCGCCCTACGAATGGTATTACACTGTAAAAGATAGAAAGATATTTGTCACGATCTTTATAAAGAAATAGATAGGTCCGTTTATCAATTCATTTGGTAAATGGCAGGCGTCGATAAAGATATAACGTGGTATTTCTTCACTCAAAGTTTTATTCAGTATGAGAGCCATTTGAATGTTTTTGTATGGTTTTTCATCGGATACAAATAAAACCAAACGCACTACTGCTAATGACACATTTGTCCCGAGATGTCTGGAAAAATGTAGGTTTGAAAATGCCATTCCGATTTTTTTTATTTCTTAAAATCAGAGGACCTAATTCAAAAAGGAAGAAGAACGACAAATATAAATTAGGTTTACTCGGCCAACCGCTCAAATAATCAGTTGAATTCTTTAATTAATCTTACAAATGTGCGACCACGGCTTACATGAGTGAATAGCATAGCGTGGTTCATACCCGACTCACCTCCGTTCTCTTACCTTTACTTTAAGATTAAAAAGATTAGTAATTATGTTAAGGCAAAAGTAGCATCAAAAAACTATTTGTAATCATTTCCTTCTTGAATCGGCGAGCAAAAGTGCTAATATTGGAACGAACTTAATAATACGTTGTCAGATTTCTTTGCGAACGTTCCTTTGTCAAAGTTGCAAGACACTTCCACAAGTTCTTCATCAAAGATATTTCAAATATATTTTATAGTGTAATAACCGCAAAGCTCTTCCTGTATTTGCCAGTGGTAGCCGCACAAGTGCGGGCGGCCATATCTGGTAAAACGAAAGTACGGAATGGTCAAGGCAATTATATAATAGGTTTTTATTTCGTAGCTGGTAGCTCATAATAGATATGCAGTTTGTGATACGTATTCTTCCGCGTGCTGTTGAATCGCTGAGACTTGCAAGTGGACTCAAGTTGATGATCGACCTCTTTCCGCAGTTAACATAAACATTCTGAGAAATGTCACCGCAAAATTGCAGACGCATTCTCCATATATGACTACCGCGACAGACCGAATCGTATTCGTTAGCAGCAACGATATACGTACGTATCTAATTATGCATTTCAGATAAACTCATACGAGGGATAGAGCAGATTCTTCTGAATACGCTTAAAATCAAATAAGAAAAAGTAGCCGTCACAGCTAGTAATCAAGTACTAATCAGGTATAAAATACAAATTTCTTGCAAAAAATGTAACATTACAATTACGACGTTAATATGTTTGTACTTAGTTTATTTTACCTGGCTGCCCTAATTGTATCTAGGTTAATTATTGCCTACATTTTCGAATGCTATTAAGGCAATTTAGCCTTACGTTTTGCAGCTATTTGAGCAATTGCACTACAATAATAAATAAAATATGGAAATGCATCTAGCCTATAAGTGATTACATAATTCACAACTGAATACATAATTATCAAACTTTAACTTATTCTACTGGATTCACCAATTGTAGGATAAATAAATACATAACGTCATAAAGAGTTCATTATTTCAGTCAGATAAAAATACTTACAGAACTTTAAAGCCGCTCGCAATAAATTAATCGAGTGAAACCCGAGCTCGAGTGGCTACGCAAGTCAGTGCTTCTGACTGGAGGTGTCCAAGTTCGAGTCCAGACGGCAGCGGGTTTAACGACTTGCTAGAGCGCTGGACGAAATTTCTCGCTGTTTGCAGGCGAATTCTATGGGGACGATTTTCTGTGAAACAGGATGTTTCCTCAGCTACTCCAATATATCAGGGGATACCCGGGAGCAGTACTCTGAAAAACGGGCCATCAACGCTAGCGATCTTTTCTGCATCTTCGCCTTTCCTCCCTAAATACACCCCACTTTGAAGAATCTCTAGCTCCACATGTGTTTCAGGAGTCATAATGGAAGGATAGGAGATTGTCCGGTTGAGGCATATGTTCATGATAAAGGATATAAGGAGGAAACGTCACCCAACAT